AAAAGATCGATAGCTGTCTCTGGTCATGAGGCCACTCCGTTTCTCTTCCCCAGGAAACTGCACAGCACTCCAGGTACAAATTCCAGTAAAGTCTTTCCTGTTTGAAGCAGTCAGAGGTCATGATCCTGGCAGCACTTCGGCAAGGCTCTCAGAAGAGCAGACACCCGCTCCACGCTGAACCCTACTCTCCTCCCTGGTGATCACCAACTGCTCCTGAGTCCCCAACACTTGTACACACCTCCTGTCCCACACTTCACCCTCTTTGCTGCCTTTCTAACAGTTATTGGGTATTCACTTTTGATAGATTTTTCTTAGAATTTAAGAAGGAGGGGTGGGAGTTGAAAACTTCACCATCAGACATAATCCATCTAACCTCAGAGAAGAACACAGAACTAGGGCGAGTGGAGGAGAAAGAGAAGCCCCTGCCCAGAGGGCTGGAAGTGTATAAATTAGACACACAGAGAGACTCTAACAAGACAGGGCAGGCAGCCATGAGGAGACAGACAGCAGCCAGGGATAGCTATCTTTTTTCTGGCGAAGCCAATCATCACCTGCAGCTCAGGCGAAGGCTCAGAGAAGAGATTTGAAGGGGGCAGAGGAGTGCTGGCTTAGCTGCAGCAGCAAGTAGAGGAAGATTCAGCTGAGGGGCCCAGCACTGAACTGCCCTCCCCATGTAGGGCAGACCGCTGAAAGGGCTCCCTGTCTCCAAGCCAAGAGGAAGAAGCAGGCAAGAGGAGCCAGTCGTGTATTCAAAGGGTGCCCAGCCTTGGTCTCGGCTTTACCATATGTGCTCCAGAATTGGACTATTCCTGTGCCGAAGCCGTGGATGACACCTTCCCACTCCCTGTAGCCACACTCTGTAGTGTCCTCCCTTTGTCGGCCTCAGTATTTGAGCTGTCCTGTATCACAGCATGGAACATCTGGTCATACCAAAATCAAAGTCCAGACCCTGTGGAATGTCCCATAAGGCTCTGTGAGCAATCATCTGTGCTCACATTTCCAGGCAAAACTGGTGCTCCTTAGACAACTTTGTGGCCATGCATGCTGTGTTCATGTCAAGAAGGACGTTTCTTTTACTAATAGTATTTCATCAGCTCCGGACATAATATTGGAAGAGTGTCTCTGGCAAAATTAATGAAACCGACACAGCCTGCCAGTGTGGCAGTCAATTCTGGCCTTAGTGCGGACGGGACTTGAGACTTTATTCCAGCGTGTCCACCTCTCTGCTATCGGACAACCCTCCCTCCTTGCATCAGCAGCCTTGGAAACGGGAAAAGCAGCAAGGGACTTGGCATGTGTTAGTCCTGGGCTTCCTCTTGCACTGGATTCAGACTGTCCCCTGAACTTCTGTTACTAAACAGTGACTAACCCCAATCACACTGCATTAAGTTCCATTGTCCTTCAGCACAGGGCTCTCTTTATTTCTCCTTCTTCCATGATTTCAAACTTGCTTAAGAGGTACCTTGCTTAAAGGAGCAAAAGAGCCATGATCTGCGTGACTTTGACCTTGACCTGATTTGAGCACAGAAGAAAGGCCAGACACACAGACACATGGTACAGAAAAGCCAGGAATGGGTGGGTTGCACTTGCTCTGATGTCACAGCATCCCTCTATAACCATAGGCTGGAGCCTTAGTGCTTTCATTATGGGCAGCAGGCAGAGAAGAGAGGCGGCCTCAGTAGGAGGAGTCTGCAGACAGGCTGCAATCATCGGCAAGGACGAAGCTGCAGTTGCCGGTTTTTATACACACTGGCAGCATTTGCACACAGGCCAGAGGAAGCCTTCGTCAACTTGCTGAGCCTAACCCTGGGGGAACTGTTTGTCACTGGGGCTGAGGCACTGGGTTCTTGACAGGGCCGTGCCCGTGTTAACAACACACCCACTTGGTACTTCACCTGCCCTTTATGAATTCACTCAACTTCCTCAACTCCCTACTGTTGACTCGGGGGTTCAACAGTTTCGATGAAGGGAAAATTGAAATATCTCAGCTGACTCCAAACTTGTTGGAGATAATTCTCTCTGGTGTGTGAGAAAATGTCAGTTTCCAGCTCCTTCCAAGCTCCCTGACAGGATGAGGGATGGGAGATGGCAGGACAAGGCCAACGTGAATGGCCTCCCTGGCAGTTTCCAGGCCCAGACTGTACAGGAAACACAAGTCCTCAGTTCCTGCACTGCGCTGGGACCACTTGCCTGCCTCTGCCACTGAGAATGGGAGAGTTTGGGACAAGCCCTGAGGTGTGCAGTGCAAGCTGTCTTTCTGGAATTGCAAGTAGATTAATGAGGTTGGGTTCCAGAAAGCATGTTTCCAAACACATTCGCCACAGGCCAAAGTCTCCACAGGGAAGATTTGCTTTTAGAAGCACTTTGAACTTACTCTCTCTGCAGCATCTGAGAGAAAACTCACCCTGTGGTTACCTGTTCTGTTCACCGTGAACCTTCTGGGATGGGATGACCACTGGGCAGAGTCTCATCACGGTGGGTGTCGTTTAACTCCATGAGCACCAGAGAAAACACATGCACAACCCCAGGCGTAGAGAAGGTGGGACGCTGCCTTCAGTCACACTTGCCCCTTTCCTGCTTCCACAGCTCCCTGCCAGATCTGAGAATCAAGTTCCTCTTTGGCTTGGTCACAACCATAGGCAGGTCCCAACTAATCCAAGGCTCGATTTTCCTATTTGTACAAGAAAGCCTTGCAAAAACTCACTTCATCCCTAACCTAGGAATTGCTTTCAAAAGTGGAAAGCCACACCTGAGAGTGCTCCAGCTACCGGAAGGGGCACGCCTGCAGACACGGGGATGAGTTCTGTCATAACTGCAATCCTCCCGTACAAAGATGAAAGCACCTCTTGATGGCTGATTCAATCATCCAACATGTCTATGTGGTAGGTGTTACAATATGGGTCTGAGATACACACACACACACACACACACACACACACACACACACACACACAGCCTCACATTTTCACAGGCTTCGTCCTGACTAGCGATGCTATTTTGAGAGGCCACAGAACCTTTGGAAGGTACGACCACAGTGACAGAAGTAGGTCACCCTGGGAGCTGTCTTTGAAGGCTAGACTCCATTCTTTTCTCCTGCTTGGCACTCTGCGGTTCTGGTACTCTCCGCGGTGTGAACAGCCTACGCCATGTGCATGATTCTTGCTGTGATCTGAGTGACTTTGCCCCCGCGTGGCCTGCTGAACTGAACCTTTTGAAACTGTGAGTCAAAGTACATCTTCCATCCTGAAGGTGTTGCTAGCAGGTGCTTTGCCTCATCCTCCGCCCTTTGGATCCCAGAATCCTGGCTGTGGGTGATGAGGGAATAAAGCAAGGACAAACACAGACACAGACAGCGAGGCTGCGATCAGCTGAGGTTCTCCAAACACGACAGGCATAGCCAGGAGCCTCGGGTTGTTTATTGGATATAGCGAGGGGTTGGGGAGAAGGGATATAGGCCAGCAGTCCCGGGCTGCAAATATCCTGTAGGAAAAAGCAGCGGTTGCTGGTCTTGGAACACACTGATCAGCCAGCCGTAAACACCCAGACTCTGACTCTGACGCCCAAGTAAAGCTTTACCATCTCAGTCGAGGCTGTAAGGCTAGTGGTTTTGCGATTTTCCCATGGATCTGAGGCCTCAGAGTCCTCAAAAGTCCGTCCCCTTGTCAAAAGACACACTTGTTCAGGACTTCACTCACTCCGGGCTTTCTCGGCTCCGTACAGTGTTTGGTCGCAGGGGTACAAAAGGAACTCAGACAGCAGGTGACATACAGATGGGGACCCCAAGAGTGGTGTGTCACAGTTCCAGAGCTGATAAATGATAAAATGACACCAGTCACTTGTTCCCTAGCCCCTTTCCTCTCTGATCTCGGGGCTGCTGAGGGGATGGCAGACTCAAGAATCTGGAGTTGAATTATACTGTAACCATTGTTACCGTTTGAGAGTCTACCAAGCACCTTGTATCTGGTGGTACTGTGCATTAAGCCTAATCCTACAGCAATGTTATAAATGGGTAGCTCTAGCCTCATCTTAAAGGCGGGTGAGAATTTAATAATGCTTATGGGTAGAAGTGAGGAAATCGGCTTATACCAAGCCACCTACTTCCCTATATTGTAAGAAAAAGAATTCTCTTAAAACCTTTGACAAACATTAAGATATTCCCAAATATCTGTGAGATCTCGAGGACATCAACCCAGGCTGATGCTATCAAGACCAGATGACTAAAGCTCACCCACATCTCTGTGCTGCTGGTTGTGGGATCTTAGAACGTGGCAAGCACCCCAAGCCTCCATGAGGACTCCTTCCATGGATGGGAAACTCACCTGGGACCTAGAGAAATGACCACTTACCAATCAACATTCCTTCTTAGACTGAAAGTCACTTGACCATAGAGTGTGTGTGTGTGTATATGTGTGTGTGTGCAAATAATCACTTACCAACCAACATTCCTTCTTAGTCTACAAGTCATTTAACCATGGTGTGTGTGTGTGTGTGTATGTGTGTGTGTAAAAATGACCACTTACCAACCAACCTTCCTTCTTAGACTGTAAATCACTTGACCATAGTGTATGCGTGTGTGTGTGT